TATTTGGTCTGTGTGGGTGGTTTTGCGGTCACTTGTGTTTAGTGTACCGAAATCATCTAATGGGTTAATGAGATGTCAGGTGAGGGATTGTTTGTCGTTTCTTCGTCTTTAGTAAAGGTAATGTTCTTTATGGTAGTGTTAATAATATTAGAGTGTAGTGTTTTAGTTTTGGTGTTGTTTGTTGTTTTTTTGTCCTTTTTCTTTAGTTGTGAGTATATGATTGGTATGTCGATATGTCTATTTATTGTGTCGTTGTCTTTACTGTACCAAGCTTCTTTAAATTCGCGTGCGTGTTTAGTCTGTGCGCGTCCGACTACTTTAGTTTCTGTCCAGTCAAATGTGTGGTTGTTTCCGTGGGTATGTTCTGCCGGTAGTGAGTTCGGATCTCGTCGTTTTATGGCGTTTTTTGTGTTCTGTGAGTCTTGATTCAATTTTCTTAGATGTTTGTCGTTTGTGAGTAGTTGGTTTGTAATTTGTTTGGCAATGTCTAGTGGTATGGATGTGAAGTGTGATGTCACGTCGTTGGATATCACGATTTCGTCTGGTCGTAGGACAGGTTGTTTGTGGCAGAGGTTATTTGTGATTTAGTGACGAATGTCTTCTTGATGAATCACAAATAATCTATTCCACAAACAACCTGTCACCCTAAACTACGAAGAACTACGAACAATTAAAAACCTACAAAACGACGACGAAATAATCATATTACGAGCTGACCAAGGACGCAAAACAGTTATCATGGATACAGATCAGAATACATCGACAAAGCCAAAACCCTCCTACAAGACACCACCACCAACGAACTTCTCCACACAGACCCCAGCAAAACGACCACCAACCGCATCAACCAGAAACTGAAACAACTAAAAAACAAAAAGAAACTAAACAAAAACGACTAAAGAAGAATCCGACCCAATGATGCATCCACCGACAAATTCTACGGACTACCAAAAATCCATAAAGAAAACAACCCACTTCGACCTATCGTATCGCTTCCAGGATCACCTACGTATGAACTTTCAAAATATCTTTATAACATTCTGTATCCATTAGTCAAAAATTCATCTCACACCATCAGAAATGCCACTACCTTCCTCGCCAGTATTGAAAACATTAAACTACGATTAGACGAAATCATGATATCGTACGACGTGACATCACTCTTCACATCCATACCACTAGACATTCCCAAACAAATTACAAACGAACTAATCACAAACGACAAAACTTGGCAAGCTACAACACAACTAGACAAAAATGACATCCTAGACTGACTTACTAAACCTTTGCCTCTCCCCTGAATTCACCTTCCAAAACACATACTACAGACAAATTTCAGGCACACCAATGGGATCACCACTATCCACCTTCCTCCCAGAAGCTGTCATGCAACACCTCGAAACACAATCAGTCACAAACAACACAAACATCAGATTATGGAAAAGATATGTCGACAACATCTTTGCCATAGTCAAAAAAGATAAAACTGAACAACTCCTACACACCATAAACAATACCACAAAGAACAAAACCTTTACTAAAGACAAAGAACACGACAAACAACTTACCTTCCTCGACATCCTACTATCCAGAACAGATGACGGTACACTAAACACACAAGTATACCGCAAAACCACAGACCAAATACTCGATTTCAACAGCAATCATCCAACACAACACAAAATAAGCTGCATTCGAACACATTTCAACAGGATAAACACTCATTGTAATACGGAAGAAGCCAAAAAAACAGAACGCAACTACTTATACTCCACATTTATTAAAAACAATTACCCTAGAAACTTCATAAACAAAACTATATTCAAAATACAAAACAAAACACAAACCGAGAAAAGCAACAAAAAACCGGACGAAGCAGTAAAAATCGTCACATTACCATACATAAACGAACATCAGAAATGACTGCCAGACCTCTTCAACCATTTAATATTAACGTCGCCCACAAACCTATACAAAAACTCAAATCATGTTTCACCAAACATAAAGACAAAACAACAATTCATGATACAACTGATGCGATCTACTTGATACCATGTAAAGACTGTTCAAAGCAATACATAGGACAAACATAAACGAAAATTGAAACAAGACTCACAGAACACAAAAACACCATAAAATGACGAGATGCGAACTCACTACCGGCAGAAAATACCCACGGAAACAACCTCACATTCGACTGGACAGAAACTAAAGTACTCGGACGCGCACAGTCTAAACACGCACGCGAATTTAAAGAAGCTTGGTACAGTAAAGACAACGACACAATAAACAGACATATCGACATACCTATCATATACTCACAACTAAAAAAAGGACAAAAAAACTACAAACAACACCAAAACTAAAACACAACACTCTAATATTATTAACACCAATCATATTAACAATACACCAAAACCCATGGCAACGCGTTTCACCCCATCCAATCACATTAATCCACCCATTTATCCAATTAGACGCTCTAAACGTCTCCAAGTATATATATATATATATATATAGAATATTGAGCGTTTATTCAGGAATATTATCCATAATAATATATATATATATATTATTATGGATAATATTCCTGGATAAAAGAGCGCTCAATATTCTATATATTAGAAGAGCGTAAGATAAAATGAACTAAAATAAAATGGACAATTGTTTGCTGTCGCTACTCGGAGTTTCACGCCGTAGGGCGATCTTCAGGCAACTGACAGATTATATTTTATTTGCTGACTATATACATCGACTAAAAGGTGTTAAGTTACATGACGGCATGCACTAAACATATCGGAACGTTTATTTAAAATGTTCTTTTTACGTCCTTTCAGGATAAGTAGCCTTTCTTCAAGGCAAAGACGGCAGGTTCTTTGGTTTTGTTCGGAGGTGGAAGTTGTTTGATGAAGTCCCATTTAATGTTGTAGTTACGTTTGTTCTCTTTCAGTGTACGTGTATTTAGAAAGTTCTGTCTCGTTCCGGTATTTAATGTTCGTAATTGATTTAATGTGGTTTCGATATCGTGTCTTAAAAGCGCATGCAGTAACACCTATGTAAGTTTTGTTTCGTTGTTGTCAGTCGTTGTCACGTCGGCTTTGTAAATCACGTTGGGTTTCAGGCAATTGCCATTTGTCGGGCATAGATGTTTCTGTCTGCAGTTACATTTCTTTGGTGGGTTGTTCTTGTTCTGGGTTGTGTCTGGGTTAAGTCTTTTAAAATAGTCTTGTTGTGTCTGGTTATGAAAGTTTTCATGTTTTCGCCGCAGCTGTAGCTTACGCGTATTGTGTGTCGGTTGAATATCTTGGAGAGTATAGTATTTGGTGGGAAATGTTTGTCGATAAGTTGTAGGAAGTCATGGGCGATGTGTGTTTTTACGTTTTTGCTGTATGGTGGGTTAAACCAAGTGACGTTACGTTTTCTGTTGTACGTGGTGTTTACATTGATGTTTGATGGATTAAAGGTGAGTTGGGTGGTGAAGTTGCTTTGTTTAAGAGCTTGGTTGTAAATTGGTGCGGCATTTTCGAAGGTGTCTTTGCCAGATGAGAGTGTGTTAATTCGGTTGTTGATGGATGTGGGTAGTTGGCGTAATACTGATGGTGGGTGGTTGGACGATCTGTGAATGTAGAGGGGCTCGTCGTTGGGTTTTCTATATGGTTTGTAGGTGTCGTTGCTAAGGTCAAATGTTACGTCAAGGAAGTTTGTGCGTTCATGGTTTGTCATCGCTGTGATTTTTAGTCCAAGCTCGTCAAATAGGTGTGAGAGGGTTTTTCTTTCTTTGTCGCAGAGTCTTCCAGATTTCGTTTTTATGACTGCAAGGCCATCGTCACGGTATAAGCCGACGTTGTTTCCGTACCGTTGCTGTAGTTGGTCGAGTAAGAATAGCCCTACAAGCTCGCAAACTTCCGCTCCATCATAGCTGCCCATGGTTACATCAAACGTGTTGGTAGCGTTGCGTTTAGAGCTTTTTCACAAACGTCTTCACAAAAGTACTACTTCTTCTTCACAAACGTAACTACAACATTAAATGGGACTTCATCAAACAACTTCCACCTCCGAACAAAAACCAAAGAACCTGCCGTCTTTGCCTTGAAGAAAGGCTACTTATCCTGAAAGGACGTAAAAAGAACATTATAAAATAAACGTTGCGATATGTTTAGTGCATGCCGTCATGTAACTTAACACCTTTTAGTCGATGTATATAGTCAGCAAATAAAATATAATCTGTCAGTTGCCTGAAGATCGCCCTACGCGTGAAACTCTGAGTAGCGACAGCAAACAATTGTCCATTTTATTTTAGTTCATTATATATATATATATATATATATATATATATATATATAGGAAGTTTTGTTTATCGAATCTCCGTAAGTACAGTGCTCGATGCTTAAGAGCAGAGCGTAAATATTGATGAGAAAAAGAAAAAATACACAAAACTACAATTTCATCCCGACAAGCCTGTTTCGTGATTTCTCACTCTTCAGGGATAATATTAAATGAATACAAAGCATGTGCTAGATATATATACAAGAGGAAGTTAGGTTAAAAATTGAGATAGAATTACATAATATATTGAGTGTACGATTACAAATTACATAAAAGTGCTTTGTGTCTATGGCGACAAGAGGAGATAAGTTCGTTACGTTTGTTGAGTGATGATAGTTGTGGTTGGTAGGTGATGAAGAGTTTTTCTTTCAGGCATAGGTTGCATCTTTTGTTGGCGCTGTTGTACGGTTTGCTGTGAGTAATGATGTTCCATGAGATATTGTGAGCGATGTTGTTGTCTTTAGTGTCCATATGTGTTTGCTGAGTTCGGTGGAGTTTCTTAGTTTTTGTGGCGAAAGAGGCAGTATGGTTTCTGTGTCGAGTCTTAAATTCGTTTTCTGTAAGTCCGATGTAGGTCTCAGTTGTGTTATTGTCTAAACGTTTAACAGTTGCTTGGTAGATGACAGATGATTGTAGGCAGGTTTGTTTTTGACGGCAGTTGCATGTTTTGTTTGTGTATTTTTGTCATTGATGGTGTCATTAGTATTGTCAGGTTCTCTCAATATGCGTTTGTTATGGTTATTAATAATATGTTCCATATTGTTCATGCAGCTGTAACTTAATTTAATTGTGTTGCGGTTAAATAGTTTTCTGAGTTTGTGGTCTATGGGAAAGTGCTTGTCAATTAGTGAAATGAATTTGTAGCCGATGTTTGTGCTGACGTTCTTGCTGTATGGTGGGTTGTACCAGAGTATGTTATTTCTAAGTCTGTTTTTCCGTTTCGTAGTAGCGTTTGGGTCATATTTCAGCGTGTAATGATATCCATTTTCGTCAAGTGCTTTTTGGTATGGAGGGATTGCTTGGTCGAATGATGCTCTGTCGGATGATAAGGATGAAAGGCGTTTGTTAATGGTATCGGGTATGTTCTTTGTAATGCTTGGAGGATGGTTGCTTTCGTGGTGGATGTATTGCAAAGAGGTGTTGGGCTTAGTGTAAGGTCGATGGGAAGAATTCTTTAGATCGAACGTAATGTCGAGGAAGTTAATGACTTTTTTGTTAGCTTCGATAGTGATACGCAATCCGTTGTTGTTAAATACGCGGCATATCTCTTTTTTAATTTTTTCTGTTTCTTTAGGTGTTGCTTTAGTAATGGCTAGTCCGTCGTCGCGATAGAGTCCTATGTTAGTAATGATGTGTTGCAGTTGTGAGAGTAGATAGCTTCCTACGAGTTCGCATGTTTCGGCGCCGTCGAAGCTGCCCATTGTCACGTCGAATGTGGAGTTGTATTTCTTTTGCCATGGTTGTTGGTTGTGAATGAGGTATGAGTTCTTGGCATGTATGATAATGTTTCTCTCTTGGTTTGTGATGTTGTCGTAGGTTGAGGCGAATTCAAGTGCTTTGTTTAAGAGGTCTTGGTTGATAGACGGGTAGAAGTCTACAATGTCAAAAGATATGAAATTGTGATTTTGTTTGTGTTTGATGGAGTTAAACCACTTGATGGCAGATGACGAGTTTTTCCATTGGTTCAGCGAAGTGGCTTTTATGATATTGTTGTTTATTCTGTCAAGTATTTTTTTGCTAATTTTTCCAATTTCAGATTTCGTCGGGTTGATTAGTCGGCACGTGGGTTTATTTGCGAAGTTCGGTTTGTGATCTTTGAGTGTTATGAATGCGTGTTTGTTAGCGGTGGAGTCTACTCTGTCAGATATACCCAGTTGTGATGTGATATTTTTGTCTTCGGCGTGGATGGCTTGTATTGTGTCGACGTTTATTTTCTTGTATGATTTCGTGATATTTTGTTGTAGGAGGTCGTTGTATGCTGGCTTGTCTAGTCTGTAGAAGTTTGTTGTTTTGTCGGCTGCGATGAGTAGCTTTTCTTCGTGTTTGATGGCAGTAGTGTTGTCTTTTATTTCGGTGAGAAATGCGTTGTGTACTTTTTTAAATTTTACTGATTGGATCATCTTCATCATGTCGTTTTCGAATTGTTTTAAGTCGTCAATCGGTGGAGGGTTTTTTGTGCTCTTGAAGCCATAGGTGTCTTTAGAAGCTGTGGTGGATTTCGGGTTGAGTAATAAGCCTTCCAACGCATATTGCGTAGGAAGGACTCAGATTTTTCGATGAGTCGTTGCAGGTATTCATTTGGTGATGGTAGAGGAATGTTCTTGATGCTGTAGTTGAAGTTTAGTTTCTCCATTGCGGATTATCATACAGTGCTCGACAAAATTTATATTGGAGCGTAATAGGAAGTTTTGTTTATTCGAATCTCCGTAAGTACAGTGCTCGATGCTTAAGAGCAGAGCGTAAATATTGATGAGAAAAAGAAAATACACAAAAACTACAATTTCATCCCGACAAGCCTGTTTCGTGATTTCTCACTCTTCAGGGGATAATATTAAATGAATACAAAGCATGTGCTAGATATATATACAAGAGGAAGTTAGGTTAAAAATTGAGATAGAATTACATAATATATTGAGTGTACGATTACAAATTACATAAAAGTGCTTTGTGTCTATGGCGACAAGAGGAGATAAGTTCGTTACGTTTGTTGAGTGATGATAGTTGTGGTTGGTAGGTGATGAAGAGTTTTTCTTTCAGGCATAGGTTGCATCTTTTGTTGGCGCTGTTGTACGGTTTGCTGTGAGTAATGATGTTCCATGAGATATTGTGAGCGATGTTGTTGTCTTTTAGTGTCCATATGTGTTTGCTGAGTTCGGTGGAGTTTCTTAGTTTTTTGTGGCGAAAAGAGGCAGTATGGTTTCTGTGTCGAGTCTTAAATTCGTTTTCTGTAAGTCCGATGTAGGTCTCAGTTGTGTTATTGTCTAAACGTTTAACAGTTGCTTGGTAGATGACAGATGATTGTAGGCAGTTTCCGTTAAGTGGGCAGTTTTGTTTTCTGGTACAACCCACCATACAGCAAGAACGTCAGCACAAACATCGGCTACAAATTCATTTCACTAATTGACAAGCACTTTCCCATAGACCACAAACTCAGAAAACTATTTAACCGCAACACAATTAAATTAAGTTACAGCTGCATGAACAATATGGAACATATTATTAATAACCATAACAAACGCATATTGAGAGAACCTGACAATACTAATGACACCATCAATGACAAAATACACAAACAAAAACATGCAACTGCCGTCAAAAACAAAACTGCCCACTTAACGGAAACTGCCTACAATCATCTGTCATCTACCAAGCAACTGTTAAACGTTTAGACAATAACACAACTGAGACCTACATCGGACTTACAGAAAACGAATTTAAGACTCGACACAGAAACCATACTGCCTCTTTTCGCCACAAAAAACTAAACTCCACCGAACTCAGCAAACACATATGGACACCAAAGACAACAACATCGCTCACAATATCTCATGGAACATCATTACTCACAGCAAACCGTACAACAGCGCCAACAAAAGATGCAACCTATGCCTGAAAGAAAACTCTTCATCACCTACCAACCCACAACTATCATCACTCAACAAACGTAACGAACTTGTCTCCTCTTGTCGCCATAGACACAGCACTTTTATGTAATTTGTAATCGTACACCTCGATATATTATGTAATTCTATCTCAATTTTAACCTAACTTCCTTGTATATATATCTAGCACATGCTTTGTATTCATTTAATATTATCCCTGAAGAGTGAGAAATCGAAACAGGCTTGTCTGGGATGAAATTGTAGTTTTGTGTATTTTCTTTTCTCATCAATATTTACGCTCTGCTCTGCATCAGCACTGTACTTACGGAGATTCGAATAAACAAAACTTCCTATATATATATATATATATATATATATATATATATATATATATATAAATGAACTATAAATGGACATTGTTAAGTACCAGAGTTAATGCGGCGACAGGCAACTGACAGATTATATTTATTTCAGCCGATCATACACATCGATCAGCAGGTTACATGATTTGATGTACTAAACATATCGCAACGTTTATATAATACCATGTCCTTTCATATTACAGTAAAGACAGGTTTGTTTGCTCGAGGCGGAAGCATTGATGAAGTCCCATTTGTTGTGTTTTCAGTGTCCATGTATTAAAGAGTTTCGTATCGATGGCTGGTTAAGTTTTGATATCAGTGTCAAAAGAAGAAATACAAGTTTGCTTTTAGGGGACATGTTATAATAATATTTGTTGTTGTTCAGAACATACAGGGGAGTTGTTTCAGCCTGGGTTGTGTCTGGTTAAGTCTTTTAAAAGTCTTTAAAAACTATTTTAAAAATACTAATTTAAACAAGACTATTTTAAAAAGACTTAAACCGACACAACCCAGAACAAGAACAACCCACCAAAGAATGTAACTGCAGACAGAAACATCTATGCCCGACAAATGGCAATTGCCTGAAACCAACGTAATTTACAAAGCCGACGACAACGACTGACAACAACGAAAAAAAACTTACATAGGTGTTACTGCATGCGCTTTTAAGACACGATATCGAAACCACGATTAAACCACGAACATTAAATACCGCAATGAGACAGAACTTTCTAAATACACGTGGACACTGAAAGAAAACAAACGTAACTACAACATTAAATGGGACTTCATCAAACAACTTCACCTCCGAACAAAACCAAAGAACCTGCCGTCTTTGCCTTGAAGAAAGGCTACTTATCCTGAAAGGACGTAAAAGAACATTTTAAATAAACGTTCCGATATGTTTAGTGCATGCCGTCATGTAACTTAACACCTTTTAGTCGATGTATATAGTCAGCAAATAAAATATTATCTGTCAGTTGCCTGAAGATCGCCCTACGGCGTGAAACTCTGAGTAGCGACAGCAAACAATTGTCCATTTATTTTATTTTAGTTCATTATATATATATATATATATATATATATATATATATATATATATATATATATATATATATATATATATATATATATATGTTTGAAAGTTGGTAACCCAGGCATATTATGATAATGATAAGGATTCTCTGGATTTGTTTTAAATTTTTTATTAAAATTTGAACTCGGTGCTTCGAGCCTTCTTTAGAATGTAAGAATATATATTGTTTACAAAGATTTTGTAGGCGTTTGGAGCGTCTGATTGGTTGGTTAGTAGTTGAGTTGATATTATTGGATGGTATAAGATGCGTTGTCATGGTTTCGGGTGTATCGATTACGTTAATGAAATTAGAGTGTTTTATTTTAGTCGTTGTGTTATTAGTTTGTTGTTTTAGTTTTGTCTTTAGTTGTGAATAGATGATGGGGATGTCAATATGTCTGTTTACTGTGTTGTTGTCTTTGCTGTACCATGCCTCTTTGAATTCTCGTGCGTGTTTTGTCTGTGTGCGTCCAAGAAGTTGTGTTTTTGTCCAGTCAAATGTGTGGTTGGTATCGTAGGTATGTTCTGCTGGTAGTGATTTTGGGTCGCGTCGCCAAAACAAAAACACTACACTCTAATATTAGTAACACCAATCATAATAACAATACACCAAAACCCATGGCAACGCATTTCACCACATCCAATCACATTAATCCACCCACTAATCCAATTAGACGCTCTAAACGTCTTCAAGCTAAAAGTACGTGTAAATAAATATCCTCATTCTGATGAAAGTTCGAAGCAACGAGTCGAAAGCGCAATAAAAATCACTTAAAATCCGGAGAAACTTTTATCTTTTATATATATATGTATATAGTACGGATAATATTCCTGGATAAAAGAGCGCTCAATATTCTATATATTAGAAGAGCGTAAGATAAAATGAACTAAAATATAATGAACTATAATGAACTATATATGAACTATATGAACTAAATGAACTATAATGGGATTTTGTGATAGAAACTATCGCAAACAAAATCGCACGGATAGAGTGCTCAATGCCACGGCAGAGCGGTATAATTGAAAATAAAATAAACCACGAATTACTTCATCGAAATTTATTCCCTTTAGCTGTTTCGTATGGCAGTTATTTAACTTGCCACACTCGTCAGGAGAATAAATATAGCACTATAGCACAACGGAACTTATACACTAAGATGAATAATTAAGTGTTTAGGTGATATAGTATTACATTAATGACGTTAGTAAGTGTTTATTACGATGGCGGCATGCGGAAATGAATTTGTTTCCTTTATTTAGCGAGCTGAGTTCTGGGTGGAAGATGATGAAGAATTTCTCCGAGAGGCATAAATTACAGCGTTTGGTTTTGTTTGAGTAAGGTTGTGATTTCTTTACAATTTTCCAGTTGGTGGTGTATGGTGTGTTAGAGTCTTTTAGTTTCC